TGTAGAATTCAAACCCATTACGGGCTGCATCAAGAGCTGTTTTTGCAGGTGGAAATGTCTTTGATGGCTGACAACAACGCAAAAGTCATTAGTAAATCAGCAACTTGTCAATAGATATGATTTCGTTTATATTTTACAGTTTCACCGTACCACGTCCATTCCCAACCAGTACATGTCAGCTTTCGTCTGAGGCCATTCTTCCGATTCTTCGTCACTTTTTAAATAATGCCATGTCTGTCGCCCATGTTCTACTCGCAATCGCCATCGCTTTGGATCGGTCTCTCCTAAAGGATTTTGATACTTCATCAGAACAGCGAAGAAGCGAGATTTGATCTAACGTATTAGTGTCTGATTTTTAATAAAACACGTGTAACTCTTGTAGATTTTGTGTACTGTGTACGAATTAATTCTTTCTTTTCAGCACGAGAAACAGAAAGGCTCTCAAGCATGTAGAAGCAGGGCTGCCGGTACAGACGTTTTACTTCGGCTTAAAAGCCATAATAGTAAAGGATTAACATCCCAATCTCGGGCTTTCCCTTTACGGGGCTTCCTTTCTTTACGTTTAGTATTCCAAAGGAGCATCATCGATGTGCCGTGACGCATGAAATTGTTGGGCCCGACAAGTCTTTCGCTTCGCACCTACAATTGAAATCTGTGTATTTTGATCATACGCTTCTAATTGCTCGCTATTATTGTCTCTGTAAATCCTCGGACTTACCAATCATTTTTTTATATGACAAAAGTTTCAATTTCATTGACATGGTGTAATATTTTAAATATCTAAAAAATGATATTCGAAACCAGATAACCGATATTTTTATACTCGCAATAATTATAATAAAAGTGGGCTCAATAAACTGGCATTATTATAAGGTTGTACGCGATATACGAAAGTAGGTTTTGTCTTTCAGCTTGAAAATGATCAAACTGAAGCATTTTGTTAAAGTTGGCTGATAATCTATTGCAATGATCAGTGATTATCCAAAAGGATTCTCTTTGATCTAAAGATATTATCAGCTCTGCGAAATTAATTATTTCACGTTATCAATAGATACGTCAACGTTAATTTATATTTCCAAACTGTCGTCCTATTTATTAGCACAAGGCGCAATTATTATTCTCAGAATGTTTTGGAATCCCATTTTTGGGCTTGCTGTTTTTATTTTTGAATTGGAAAGCTTGGTAACTTTACCTCAGTACTATATTATATATCTATATACACGTACTTTTACCAATGCTTGCTATTTTACCCAAAAATTCTCTGATTGGTCAGACGTTCACTTCTCATCGTTTGTCAGGTGATGAAATAGCGCAGCAACAGAAAACGAACATAACAACTTGACCCAACATGACAGTGATACACGTTGGTAAGAAGCATAGGTTTTACTTGTAATTTGTGAACGCTGGATGTTACGACTTATAATATGATTCTCATGTAATACCATGTAGTCTTACTTAAATTTAAGGTATTTGCAGTCCTCAAACCTATCGATTACAGATAATAATAATAATAACAACAACACCACATCGAATACATTAATTCAACAGCCCGATGCGAACGAAACAGCAATAAAGGAGACGCTTGAGGAAGCGATAGCACTGAAAAATAATATTCCAGGAATCTTGAGATATTCGGGTAAGTTTGTCTTGAAGATGCCACGCAAAAAAACTGGCGTCAATTAACTGTCTTGTTATCTGGCCAAAGCTGGTAGCAATTTTTCTAATCGCAGCCAAGGCTTTACTCATGGTATGTTCGAATCTTGATTGCATTTGATGTTACCCTCAGTGTAGCTAATCCTTTTGATTGTAGGACTCGTTGTTGAGTTTGAAGGCAAACAGGTAAGAAATAAGAGGTGTTCTGAACGTTTCTTAAGAGTATGTTAAATCTGTATTGATTCATAACATTATAGGAGCTGGAAGCATACTCAGGTCATCCCATACATGTACAATACAAACAGAATTATATTGCAAAATATGTAGAAGGTAAACCGTGTTCTGTCGTCTTGCATTCTCCGATAATAATATTTAAGTTCTAGCTTTTGCATGTATTTATAGACGTCGTGGCCTTTGACATGGAACTATGAATCATCAGGTTGTCAAAACGAAGGCCGTTTCGTGGCTACGAACGCAAGATAATCTCTCTAACTTGGAATGGCCCTAGCGTGACTTGCAGTAAAAGAAATAAACTGCGTTTTCAATATGATTTTTAGTAATGGAAAAATGATAGACTTAAATCAACATCTACAAATCTTTTTGTTTCGTTGATCTTCAACCGCGTAAGAAACCAAACTCGACGCAACCAAGCTGGAAGTCATTATTGAAAAAAAAAGTGACATATAGCTTCACGTGCATGTTTAATGTTTCAGTGACTGCGCATCGCAATTGACTACTGAAATCAGCAGACTTGATACTTTGATTTTGTCAGTAATTGTTTCACGCTCCGCAGACATTTCACAATAAAAGACTGGCCTTATTTAGATCAAGTTTTCTGTTGTTAGGACCACTTTGCAAAGTTCGTAATAAGTTTTCAACATGGTATTATTATCGTTAGGCCAATATAAGAGCATGTAACACTCGTAAGATTCCTCCCCGATCAGCTCGCGTTTGACTCACAAACATTTGTCAGACTTTGGCGTTCTTCGTCTCCTGCTAGCAAAGGCGTTGTCTCACCACGGATGGATTGTAACAGATCATTTTCATTCAATCCATTATAAGTCTACAATATCTTGACACTTCCCCAACAACTACTGCTTCTCAGGTAACGAGCGCTTTCAGATGTCTATAACGCAGGTTTGTCCTGGAATACAAATCTAACAAATACAATACTTGTACTGATGCGTTCGAATGGCCTACTTAGCCTCTGTTAAAATAGTGCCGTCTATTTCGTCTGCTTCTGGGTTGTAATAATATTAATATTACTAATTTATTATTATTATTATTAGCAAGCAGTAAACTTTGTTTTTGGTAAAATGTTGATTGTTCGCATTTTAGGTGGATATTAGCCAATCAGGAATCAGGATTTGGTTAAATTAATTAGAGTTGAACAAACAACAATCTTGATACAAACTTAAACATGGAGACTAATCTGACAGCAGTAACGATAAGCGAGCTAGGAAGTACTATGACAGTCGGGAGCTTCGGGCAGGAATATGCAATCCTGAAATTGAGCTCGACGGAAGATAAATTCGTAAGATTTGTCCATCTCCACGACTCAAAAATGACCGTCTTCATCGGTTTCGATATAACCGGACGGTTAATCGAATGCGAAAGTGAAGAAAGGGCTATCTGTGCAGTCGACCTTGTTAGTTAACCCTACGAAAATCATGAATTCGTTAGTATTGCGATTATTTAAAGTAACCAAGTGACTTTCTTGTTAGATCTATGATAAGACAGAGCAACTGGTCGGATACCTAAGGGATTTCAAGAAAGCTAGTATCAAGATGCAAGCATGTTCCATCCAGGCAGCGCGTGTATGTTTAGGAGAATCTGCAGAGCTTGCAGTGTATAAAAATGGACTGCTGTATGGTAACCGCTTGTTTTCCATACTTTTTCTTTTTGCTTCATGGCTAAAGAAAGCATATTCATTCGATTTTCTCTAAATATCAGAAGTGAATTTTGCTGTCGTACGGCGGAGTTTAGTAAGTAATATGCGCTCTTATATTCGTTACGTTTAACGGATTTTTGCTAAACTTGTATCGTTTAGAATGCCATGGATGAACTAGCGATCCCCGATTCACTATCGAAAAAATATGATATTTTCAGTGATAAACTCGGCCGGTAAGTACTTCTTTTCCTCAAGTCTTCAATATAAATATTCAGATTATTTACACGTTATGACCGTTCGGATCCATAGTGGTGCCACTTGCACAGTATATCCAGCCACATGTAAAACGACGGAGATTCAGTATGCCGTAAAGCGCGCCGAATATCACGAGCAATTTGAGAATGAAGCACGCATATTGTCCGAATGCGACCATGAAAACATTATCCGATTTATTGAAATGGAACGAACGCAGCAGCACCTGTGGCTTGTCTTTGAAAGAATGAGTTGTGATTTGGGGGAATACGTAAATAGCAAGGGAAGACTGCCAGTACATGAGGCACGTGGGTTTGCAAAACAAATATGTGGTGCTCTGGATGTAAGTGTTTTATTTAGTTACAAGACCGCGTAAATATACTTCATCCACGCTTACCTAAGTTCCAACTTTCTTGTATAGTACTTGCACACACGTAACATCATACATCGAGACTTGAAATTGGAAAATGTTTTAGTAGATGGAGATCATAAAACTGTCAAATTAGCAGACTTTGGATTTTCAAAACATTGCTCGAATACATTGAAGTCGTTTGTTGGCACAGAGCCATACATGGCACCGGAAATGCTTGCTATTTCTGATATTAGTGGATACACTACAAGTGTGGACATGTTCGCTTACGGTGTGCTTGTATATTTTATGTTGGTTGGATGTCTCCCGTGGTTTGATAAATGTGAGATGGGTTCTCGGCGATTCTTCCAGAAAAGAGCAATAGCAAATTACAAACCTCTAATGGGGAGCTTAGATATTGTACAATTTCTCCAAGGGTTGATAGAACTCAAACCTGAAGCCCGAATGACGGCTAAGGAAGCATTTAATCACGAGTTTCTAAAGGTTGGTCGGTTTAAGGAAATTTTTTTGTTTTTTTCTCAAACAATCATCAAATTACTTACTGACTTGTTTGCAAAGGTTGATGATACATTACTCTCTAGCACGAACGAAGTATCGGACAACACAGTTCCGGTACTTCAATGGAGAGAATCACGTACCATTGCACCAACGGAAGTATATCATCCAGAGGTAAATTCAAGCGTCTATGTAAAGCCAGAGGCTATATCAGAGATACTAACACCTTGCATAAAGCAAGAGGTTGAATCTACTATACTAACAACTCCTGTAAAGCAAGAACCTAAAACCGAGATGCTAACAACTTATATAAGGCAAAGGGCAATCTCTGAAAGCTCAGGCGACTTGGTCAGGCCAATCAGTGATCTAAGGCAAGAAAGCAACTCATCTCCAATGACGTCTGACATTAAATGGACTATGACAGCATTTCCGGGCATCCATATAATTCCAATAGGGCCCTGTAATAACAATGAGGTCAGTAAACCTACTCAAACTGATTTGTATAATAGCAAATAAATATATCATTTCCGTCTCAAGTAAAATTAGTTTATTCGGGGTTTAGAATAAAAGGCAGTGGGGAGTATTTTTGCTCGAATCAAACGGCAGAACCTTTAAGCTTATTCACGATGCATATACAATCTCGACCCCATTGTTTGAGGAGCGTGAGTATTAATCACCAATGAATGAAATAATAATTACCTAACTATCGTTGACTAATCTTATTAATACATAAATCAGATGCTCAAATAAGATACGATAGAAAAACTGGCATGGTGACTATTATAAACAAATCTGTTAAAATATGGATTGACGAAATGCCTGTTAATTGTGATGTAGAGAAACCATTAGGGAGATTTTCCAGAATAGTACTGGCAAAGAGAGGTGAATGTGATCACAATGATGTATCATTATTGTTACGTTGCTGCAATATACTAATTTATTTCTTTGTTTGCTATAGCCGCTTCATATTATGGTCTTCAATTGGCATTCGTCAAAGAATAAGAAAGACAATTATATAAGGTTTAGCCATTATTGGCATGTAATGATTACTATTTACACTTAATACATGTATATTAAAGAATAGACTTGATAAGATGATTTCCATTGGACAGCTAAGATCAGATGACTTGCCTGACTGTACAAATTTGATAATAAAAAACTTTCCTATAAAATTGGGTTCTTTCAACAATGCCGCCTGTACCACGTATGGTTCCGTGGACCGGACCTGAGGAATATGATCAGGTTTATCAATGGCTGTATTCAGCCGAATCTCGTTTACGCAAACTCGGAATTCAGCACGTAACGATCTTCTCCCATCGATCTATTATTGTATTTGCTATGCTATGAATGTTGATGATCCTTATCTGCCTTCAGGTAAAAATGTGGATGAGTAGAGGCAAAGTACCGCACGCCATATTAAGTACCGCATCATTCGTTGAAGTTCAACTTCGAGATGAATTGTGTTATGATGAGACAATCAGTCAGCACGAATTACAGTTGCTTTATTCAATGACTTTCACAAGGTAATAAATTGTATTTCCTTGTATGATACATTTCATTCGAGAAGATTAGACTTGACATCTTATAACTCTATTGAAGATTTGTAAATGGGATGGTTGATCCAGAGCAACAAGGTGTGTACGCCACGTCCATTGCAACGCTGGCAGCAAAGCTTCAGATGCCACTCTGGTTTGTGGAATTGAGGCATATGGGAACACATGAACATCTTCCTAGTTTGGTAATTCTCAGGAAAGGATGTAGACAAGTATGTGTTTAAAGAAAATATATTTCGGCTACCTGAAATGTTCTTATTACTGATAAAGGCAATGTTCTCCTGCTATATAGGCATTAGAATGGCTAAATATCAACTATTGGATGTCACAAAAACCGCTTTTTTCACAAAGACTCAATGAAATAAGAGATGTAGTGCTTGAATATAAACGGACAAAGAAAAGACTTTTGAAAGGTATGCAAGGAATTGCCAAAATATAATAAACAATTCTGATATGATAATCCTTACTTTCACCAAAGAACAGATGTCCGATGAATCTCAATCGCTGGCAACTACAAACAAAATACTAAAGAAGTTGAATAAACTTGTCAGTTTGGAGATAATAAGTGAGTCTCTGATCCCAGTTCTCCTTGAGGTTGGAATTTTGGTACCGACAGGATATGAGTACGTGTGTATTTATATGTTCACATACTCGGTCGATTTACCTGCAAATCGTCAGTTAAGATAAACTTTATTTATGGTCCTGTTTTCACATACTACCCAGCAAACGTGCCCAATCGCTCGATTATGAAATACCCACAGATCGGTCCTTATTATGGCATCCTTTCCTTTACTATTGTTATACGACGTGGAGTAGATTTGGAGATGAAATTTTGTCTGCAATGTGTGAAAGATTGAGCGAAGAAGACGACGAATATGAACAAAATAACTATTCTTTAACAATAGGTAAGCCTCATCAACGTTTATCAATAAATTAGATTGTAATTCTCGTTACAAAGGTACTAATTTATTTTTCTTAGTTGCCTGGATAAAGCATTTGCTGATTATTCACTATAAACAATCTGCTCCCATTTTCGGATCGATCGAAGTTGAAGGCGTCCTGGAACCTTGTTTGAGAAGACCAAATGTCTAGTAAGAGTTCGGTACGCACGCATAAGACATATCGTTGGAGTTCAGTTGTAGAACTGAATGCCCTTTATTTTCGACAACAGCACACGATCAATATTGCAAGTACTGTTAGATTACGACAATGTGTTGGAACGCTCTGTAACTCCATTTGTCAAGTATATTGATAAAATGTTGACAATGAAGTGTGTACGTATGCAGGGGGGTAGAGTTATAAAATGAACGCAGCTAACCGCCTTTTTAGACCCCAGTCCCGATATCAGATCTACCAAGAATCACGGATGAGGAGCTCAACAATGAAATCGTGGAGTTAACTACTAAAGCAAGACGACCACTAGAATCAGTTCCCATGGTAACTACGAATGACATTTAACTTCTGTTCACGAATAAATCAGCTGATTCAATTCATAAAATTATAGGATATGACAACCCAACCATTGACGCAAACTGATAACCAAACGGAAACATCTTGGAAACTATATGACATTAATGATTGGAAACCCTGTCCAATTGGCTGTCTACCTAATGGACACATTCCTTCTCTTGAATTATCAGTCACAACCAATGAAGATGCTGAGAGTTTTGTTAATAAGTATCTCTAATCAATTCTTGGACATTGGAGATGCGCGATAATATTTATGTAGTACACAATATTTAGTCGTACAAACAAGGCCTTGTGATTGATTGGTCGATTCGTTTTTTCAAATAGAATTCAACTTTTTTTGACCATATCAAGTGGAAATGTTCCATACAATGTATAGTTATAGAAATATCAATACGAAATTGAGGTTGTTCAATCCTCTCGAGTTTTTGTGTGCTTCTCGCACCGTAATAGAAGGTCAATATTATTAATCGACTCATTAATGCTTTTGCCATATTTTAACATGATTTTGTTCCATAGTGCAAACTCAAAGGCTCAATTATACTATCATGTCTTCGATAAAGAGAAAACGAGCTGCGCTTGGCCTGCCTTTAACGCAATTGACGGGCCATGCTCAAACGCCCACAAAGTCCGACAAAAGCTCTGATAAAGCCGTAGAAGCATCATCTGTATCCAAGACTTCAATTCATAGATCACAGCCAGAACTTGATCAAAGTGTGAAACCATTTGTTGGTGAATTCGGTAGGACTGATTCCAGCTTTCCGCATTTCATAATGACTGGTGATAACTCAGTTTTGCATTGTTGTCAGCCATCAAAGACATTTCCACCTGCAAAAACAGCTCTTGATGCAGCCCGTAATGGGTTTGAATTCTACA